CCAGGCGTCTCTGTATCTGGGAGATAATTAAGATGATAACTTGTAAACTAATGATCTCCTGGCGCATACCTGGGGCATGCCTACATTACATTTGCTGGGCTTAAGCGTTACGCCCGCTTCCCTGATACTATCAAAGACGGCTCCTAGATGGGCCAAGTGCTCCTGCCAGGAATCGCTGAAAATGGCAATATCATCCATATATGCACAGGCATAGTCTTGAAACCCACCTAGGAGCCGTTCTGCCATCCTCTGGAACATTGCTGGAGCATTTTGAAGGTCGACTGTGACAAACTCACCTTTTTCTCTAAGTTTGCCACAAGTTATTAGAGGGGCCTGTTTGCTTGCCTCCTATCCTGTGACAATGGGCCCTCCAATATATCTTGCCCAATAGACTCCATTCATGTAATGTAAGTACTTTTGTACTCCACGAAGAAAGACCGACTGCTGGCCTTAATTCCCTGGAACTGTTTTGGGCACAAAGCCATGAAACTTTTGAACCCCTGCTCTGATCTGGGTGATTTTTGTATATGCTGTTCACCCAGATCAGGGATATCCGGGTATGTTATGTTTTGGGGTACTCTCTGAACTTTGTGAAAATGTTTTTTTTTGTTTTTTTTCCTGCTTGAGATAATTGAGTTACTTATAGGACTTTACTCAATTATCTGCCAAGCAGAGGGGAGGGATTGTGTGCTGTACATAGGCGTGTCACAGACTGTATGTTTGCTTTGATTGCTTTGTGTCCTTTGTGTTGCTTTGCCCCATCAGGTCCAGGGGGTGTTCCTATGACCTAAAGAATTGTATAAAAGCCAACCTGAACCATTAAAGATCAGATCATCTTGCACCTTCATGACATTTCGGCTCATGTTTGGGGCATAGGAGAACTACACTCTGGGGATTGCTATAATCACTACACTCCCCTGAGTATGATCACTAAGCTCTTGTAAGAGCTTGTTCCTTATAGGGTTGCAACGCCAGGCTCCATCTCAACAGTCAGGGATTGTCCCCGGCTACGCAGTTCAACCAGATGAGGGGTTATGGTCGGTCATCACGGTGAAGGACGAGCCATATAGATAGGGCTGAAGTTTTTTAATAGCCCGGACAAGGGCAAGGCACTCATTTTCCCTAGTGGCGTAACTGACCTCTTGGGGAAGTAGCTTGCGGCTGAGGAAGGCCACCGGGTGCTCCTGTCTGACGTTCCCCACTTGGCTTAGTATGGCTCACCAGCTGAACATGGAGGCATCTGTATAGATGAAAAATCATTTAGAATGGTAAGGAGCCGCTAGTACCAGAGCGTGAATTAATGCCCTCTTCAGTTTTTGGAAGGCCTCCTCGCACTCCGGGGACCACAGGACTTGGTAGGGCAAGTTTTTCTTAGGTCAATCAGGGGTTTGGCTATTAAGCTATAGTCAGGTTTTTGCTAAGGGCAGAGGCCAGTTAGCTACCGCTGCTATCTTAGCCGGCTCAGGACGTTGTTTCCCGGAACCCACTTGGTGGCCCAGGTACTTTCCTCTGCCATTTCCACGCAACACTTGTCGGCCTTAAGGGTTAGCCCTGCCGCCTGTATTCGGTCTAGGACCTCCGACAGGTGTAGGGGATGTTCTTAAAAGGTGCGACTGCAGAAGGCTTTTTTATCCAAGTGTGCACATGCAAAGTCCTGGAGACCCTCCAGGAGCCGGTCTGCCATCCGCTGAAAGGTAGCCTGGGCTGTAAAAGATACCCTACCCCTGGAGTTTATGTTTTATTTCATTCTTGGACCTTATTTGTGTTCCGTTTGTT